CGAAAATGCCTGAAAACTCCTGATTCCCAACCGCTAGCGAGCAGCGATACTTGGGAAGAACCGCGGACCTGCATACCCATGTGCAATAATGCTTTCGATATCAATATTCCCGTGGGCTCGCGGGCTCCACAGCTTAATGAGAATGAACCGGCCAGACCTTGAAACGTCAGTATTCAGTTATCCACATCCAAGGCCAATGATACATACGGAGGAGGATCGAATTTGATGGTAACCATGCTCTTCTCTCGCTCGATAAAGAAACGCGCATGTGGCTTCAAAACTTCGGCAGCCGGGTGAGCAGGCTCAGCTGGGGGGTTTGGATGCACGAGACTCGGGACATGGCGCAGTCTCTGCTCGCTGACACGGCTGAGAGCACTCAGCCGTTCCGATTCAATAAGTCGACGACGCTGATGTCTGCCTGAAGGGTCTTCCTCATCGCTTGGACTCTCGTCAGTATCCGATAAAGGATCTTCCGTCTGTTCGGCCTGGGTTCTCTCGAGTAATGCAGAGCGCCAGTCTTCGTCCTCTCCCGAATCTTCGTTATTCTCGTCGTACTCGGTGGTGATGCGGAACTGCGCTTGCGGGTCTTCTGCGGTCTGCGGAACTGCGGCTGAATGTGGGCTCATGAGAACTGTGCGTTCGAGGTTTTGGAGCGGCGGTCGGAATCCAGTGAGATATTCCTGGGATGGTTGCATGCCACTGCGGCGGCCTCTTCGGCGGTATCGGCCGCTGGAGTATTGAATTTGGTATTGGGCGGTGCGGGCAAGCAGTTCATCAGAGGTCATCGCTACGAATACCATGCCTTCTTGTATTCTGGTTTCAATTAGCCACAATTAGCCATGTCCGACGCATAGACACGTTGGTAGACATACGGAGCATCGAACCCGCATTGAGGGGCTTTGATAACAATCTTCTTCAAGCAGAACGGGGCCTCGCCCCGATGACAGAGGACCAAGTTGCAACGGGCCTCTTTTGTAGAGTAGACACTTGTATTGTTGTCCAAAACGTTCTCTGGTCGCGAACACCCGCTATCCGGATCGTAGCTTCCTCCGTCGCAGCTAGCGATTTCCATTTGCAGCATTCCCGGTACTACTTGTCCGTATTGGCCATAGTTGAAGCCTCGGAATTCCTCGCGGTTATCGTCGGTGTCCAGCTTGCGACGCTTCATCCGTCCTTGGCCATCACGGCCCGAGTGGCCGGATGGTGGCATGAGGGGCGGTGACCTGGATAAAGATCCGTCCGGGCTCGGTGGTCTGAACGTCTGCCCTGGCAAACGACGGCGGAGGGAATATGACTCTGGGGAGAGCGATGTTCGAGCCCGTTCTGAGCGAATCTGGTCAAGCCAAATGCTCCGAATACGCTGTGCGGGGCCAGCTGTCTCGGAGTGCAGTTGTTGGATCTGGCGATCGATGTCGGCCCGGGCTTGTTCAAAGTTGGTGCGATCGCGAAATCGGTCCAGAGAATGCTCAGCGACTTCTCTGTTTAATGTTTCCAATGCAAGGGTGGCGTTGTAGGCGTTGTGGGCACCGGAGCGATTTCGTTCCGATACGAAATTGCGGAGATGCTGGAGACGGAGAATCTCAGGGCGTTCGTCAAGCCTGATAGTACGGGATATGCGACGTGACGAAGAGGAAGAGGCATGAGGGTAATCGTAATTCCCTGACTAAAGGGAGGAGTAAGACATCAGCCAGACGCATAGGAGCCATGAGAGACATTACCATCATTCAGGCTTGTGGGTGCCGCTTGAGAGGTGGAGTTAGCTATGTTGGGTCAGGGGATAAGGGTAGGCAATACCATCTGGGCAGACCTGACAGAAATAAATGAAGATTAATGTAGAAGTAATAGGATGGACCCTGGAGAAGAGTTGGCCTTGGTTGCCCAAGGTCGATAACACGTGATGGTTCGATTAGATCATCGCTAGTGGAGTGAAAGTGGAAGGTTTGAGGTTGAGAAGTTGGCCTAATAGGTGCGACTCCATTGTTTTTATGTATTTCATTTATCTCGCAGTCTCCATTCTGCACTTAGTTTCTCATGTAAACTCCTTCGTCAGGCCCGGGTTAATAGCTAATTGTGTCACTTAGCTCGCTGTTTGACCTCATACATTTCTATGACAAGGGACCAGAGCCACGAAAGTGGCATCCGGTTATCCATACCTATAATTTTTAGATGCAATAAAGAATGGAATCTCATCTGATAGACATGATGGCACCTCTCAACCTAACGTATTGCTCGAAAACCTACATAGGCAACATGAGGAAGGGAAGTTCTGCAGAAATGCTCTACAGTATTGTAGTCGATCATTTGTTAAAAGAAGTTAGAAGTCACCCAGAGAGAGAGCTTTATATTTGCTATTGAGTTGTGTATTGGGCAACTTCCTACATGTTGACTTGATCTACAGTCTCGATAGCCTATCTATGTAGTGGTCTAGGAAGTCATCATAAAGGCACATACACTAAAACTGCTTGTTTATTCATACTATAGTTAGCACTTTCCACTAATTTGTCCATATTCCTCATATAACTAGCATATTCTATTCCAAATGAATGCATTGTGAATCAAATCAGATATCCTCGTTGGCATACAGTTGCATTCTTTTCAATCTGAGTAATGTTAGCAAGTAAATCACGTACATGTAGCGGTTGCTTGTTTTGTTTTTAGTTTATATTCAAGGCTATCTGTTACGCTATATGGCGTGATGAGATGGATACAACGAAGGTGTCATTTCTGAGCTAGCTATGCATATGAGTAATCCTGTGGTCCATAATGGCAACATTCCCCCTCCCGCTCGCGGTAAAACGCCGGGTGAAACGCAAAGTCAGAAAGAAATGCAATGCAGGCAATCTTTTAAGCGTGGAGAAAACATCGTCAGACGACGGCGATTGGGGGCGGAGATTGTCGCCGGCGGCGATGGCTAGGTAGCCACGTAGGAAATGTCGGAATTCTTCATTGGCCGCGTCAACATCGCTGCCCAGCTCGTTAACGCCTGTCATGACGTCTCTCCCATCCCGTCGAAAAGCATGGCACCTACGGACCGTATCGCGGACGGCAGGTGTGTTGTCGGTGTGAGCGCTCTTTTGGATGGCCCGAACTCTCTCTGGCAGAGCCTCGATGCGGTCAAGCAGTGCCACGACGTTGTCATCTGCGACATCCCTAACGCCCATGGCTCTGAGACTGTGCTCCTGGGAGATGTCGCGGTGGTGGAGGTCTTAGCTTGGCTGGTCGTCGGATAGTGCGGGCGCGGTAGTACGTCTGGACCGTGCAGATTTCACGGCAGCCTTTACCAAGAGGTGGCCGACGGGCGCCGGCTGCACGTCATCGGTGTTGGAGTAGTCCAAAACCGACATATCGGCGTAGTTTAGTGAATCTTAACGAATTTTAAAAGAAGAGATAAAAGGTTGGGACGAGGGCTAATAGAGTGAGGGAGGTGAGGATTTTTTGTTGAGGAAGTGAAACGGGTTGGGCGGATTTGGTGGGGTAAAGCCTGTTCATTTGTCCTAACGCGCCTTATGTGGGTGAGGATGATGTTGTCGAAACCATGCGTCATCTCACTTAAAAAGGAGACCTGCCAGCTCGTCGAAATCTCCTCTTTGTATGACAATATCACCTTCCCTCGGTCCTGGGAGGCGGTCGTAGATAGTGAGGAAAGGTAAAACCATGGGGTTTCCGTTAATCAAGGGTCCTCCGGTAACCTGACTCAATATGTCAACTACGTGTGAACAATAGGCCTGTTGTGCTTGGGGCGACTGTGGAATTGCCGGGGGATTGTTCAGGGTTTGGGAACATAGGAACTTGAGAACTTGATGGCAGCGCGGGTGAGGGGTCGTGGGCAAGTTGGAGGGGCGAGCTGCCATTTCTCGATGTAGATTCGCTTTGAGCTGGCTGATATAAGGATCACAATGCGCACCTCGCCGGTTGAGTTGCCGAACCACCATCTTGCGTCTTGCTGGAGGCGAGGAAGCAATTCAGAAACCCCTGTTTCAATTACAAGGGTTGGCCAGCCCACATGATCAATTGAGTTAATGGAGCGAGAAGGTGGAGCAAATGCATGGTCTGCCTGCTTCCCCTTTCCGGTGGACCTGTAGGTCTTGGACCGGACCCATAGCGATTCCTTCTTGCGTAGACCCATCGCCCAAAGCTGTTACTTGACAGTATCGGCAAACCGATCGCTCGCCACCTCATGTCGGCCCGAGGGAACAACTTTGATCAGCCCCATTGATCCCTCCCACTAGAATCTGTATCCGCTCCCCCCTAGGCTGGTGTGGTCGTCGTCCAGCTTGTTAATCATTTTTGGCCGTAGACCAAGGACAACGATCCATTGGTTGCCGTCATCGTGTTGCTCGAACCATTCTATGATCTTTTCGGCTTCCACTTTCAAGCCTTTCATTCGCGAGAAAGTGCGTACGATACGACATTCTGGGAGACCAGATAGAATCATCGTCCTGGGGTGTGTGGTTGGGGGGGGCACAAGGTTGGTGTTGCTGACAAGTCACTTCACTCACGAGCGGGGCTCATTTTAACAAAAAGGAAAAATCGTCCGGTCTGGTGTCCCTTCTTGAGGGGTAGCTAGTCGATCCGGTTTGTGGTATGTTGTCGACTGCAGATAGAGTCCGCTCGGACGCTGTATGGGTTTTCCAAGCGGCACGCGTGGCGGGCCGATGGTTGCAGACATGAATATCAGGGTCAGAGACCAGATGGTTGGCCAGGTCGATTTAAAAAAAAATAAAAATAAAAATAAAAATAAAAATTCTTTGTCCCCACAGCCCCACACAGTAGCTCCCCAGTCACCTGACATTGAAACCCATTCAACTTCTTGAACTTCTGAACCTCCATCTACAACATCGAAACTTCGACTTCCATCGCACATCCTATTAAGCCACTAAGCCATACATACTTCTCATCGAAATCAAATCCCTCGAAAAACAACTGCGGGGCTTCACATCGCCAACCGCGTACCTGGGAAAGAAAGATTGTGCTCTTATTTCAACCACTTAATCGACATTATGGCGGAGCAACAAGATAATGCACAGTCAATCAGTGCTGGTATGGCCAATAACTAGGATCTAACCCGACTCCTACTAACTTTGGTAGATGAAATCGCACTGTATGACCGACAGATCCGGCTGTGGGGAGTGCACGCACAAGAAAAGTGAGCGACCCAGCTTTCGAAACACTACGTATCCTAACAACAGCCAGAATCCGATCGGCGAACATCCTCCTCGTCACTATGAAAGCTCTCGCGAACGAAGTGGCCAAGAATCTCGTCCTGGCGGGCATCGGATCACTCACTATAATCGACCACCAGGACGTCACAGAGGAGGACCTGGGCGCGCAGTTCTTCATCGCTGAAGCACAAAGAGAGCAAGATGTGATTGGGAAGAACGTGAGCTACGATCAGAGCGAATACCTACCGCCATACGCTAATAATCTACCCCAGCGGGCGCAAGTCGCAGGACCGCAAATCCACAAAATGAACCCTCGAGTCAAGCTCAACATCGACACTTCCGACGTCAAAACCAAACAACCCGATTTCTTTGCGCAATTCGACATCACAATCGCCACAGAACTCGATTTCCTAACCAACACCACTGTGAACGCTGCCTGCCGATTAGCCAACAGACCCTGCTACGCCGCCGGTCTACACGGCTTATACGGCTACGTTTTCGCCGACCTAATCAGCCACGACTTCGTGATTGAGCGCAACAAATCCAATATGGCCCCCGCAACCCAGGAAACACCCACCCGCAGCATCATAGACATAACCACCAAAAAAGAACAAACCGACGCCAACAAGAAGGAAGACAAGATCATCGAGCTAGTCACCAAGCGCGAGGTGTACTCGCCACTAATCCTCGCAAACACCTCCCCACTGCCGGAAGGGTACACACGACTCCCACGGCGTCGCAAGCAAGTCACCCCACTACTCAGCTGTCTGCGCGCACTATGGGAATTCGAAAAACTACGCGGCCACCGCCCGACCTTCACCCACGAAGACCTGGAACTATTCACGAAGCTATCGCGCGACCGACACCAGGAACTGAAGCTGGAGCCACTCACGCTGGACTCTGTTTTCCTACGGACGTTCCTCCAGAATCTGGGCAGCGAGTTGAGCCCCGTTGCGGCGTTTTTGGGCGGTTCGCTGGCGCAGGATGTTATTAATGTCCTTTCGGCGAGGGAGCAGCCGCTGCAGAATATGTTGCTGTTCGATGGGGACAAGAGCGTTGGCCCGATTTATTCGCTTCATCCTTTCTTCCCTGATGATGGTGTGGAGATGGCTGCTGTGCCGCCGGTCAGGAACCCAGTTACGGTTCCTGTTGGAGATTTGTGAGGGCAATTGGAATAGATGAAGGCGGACAGGTGGTGGGAGATTGGACTGAGATGGGCTCTTTTAGCATTACGAATCTCCTTTTTCAACGGATTCCAACAGCCCGGGACTTGGGTCTGGGTCTCATTATGTATGATAGAACACTAGCGACCGTTGATACTTGATAATTGCATGAAATTGGGAATTATGTACAATTTTGTTCAGATATGATATTAGTTAAACTCACTCCCAAGGCCATGTATAAACCGCAATGCTATTCGAACCGAACCCAAGCCAACCCACACGCCATCTAACAAAAGATCACAAAATGCACGATATACTTACCAAGGGAATTAGTAAATTAACGCAAGGCCTCAGTGATGGGCCTCTTCTTTTCCGAGTTCCTCATCACTATTCTTCCGCGCTCCCATAGAAGGACCCTCCTCATCATCAGAAATCAATCCATGGAGCTCGAATGCCTCGGCATCGTGGATCTGCTGCGAGTTTGAGCGCGCACGCCCATTCGTGTTCCCGTTGAGAGTGGAGTACATGGGGCCATCCTGGTTGGTGGACTCGGAGTTGGGCCAGGCGTGGACAGCGTAGATGTGGAGAAGGATGTTGACGACTGGACAAGAATGAGTGGATGCTTAGAAAAGAGAAGTGGTGGTCAGCGAATCAACTTACAGAGGAAGACGATGAAGGCGATGCTGTAGAGGATCAGGACGTAGGACACGTGGGTGACGCCTGCATTGTGCAGCAGGAGCATCTGCTCCTCGGTGGCGCCCATGAAGAGGAAGCCGGAGGCATAGAGTAACTGAAAAGAGGAAACGAGTCAGTATCATCCTACTTATACCGCATCGATAGGAGAAGAGACATACGAAGGGAGTCAGATATTGGAAGCTGTTCGGTTCGGAGAGAGCAGGTTTATCCTTCAGCACGAACGAGATCTCAATGATGCGCGTCAGACCCGCCGCCATCAGGGTATACCCGAAGAGGGAGTGGATCATAGTACTGATCATCAGCGACTGGGGATGAGCAGACATGGCATAACCGGTAATCAAGATGACAATGGCCGGAATGAGGTTACGCTTAGGGCGGCCACTGCGGGTACGGCTAAGCCACATACCCAGCAGACCAGCACACCACCAAATAATGCCCATAGTAGTATGCTGGAGGTCATTGTGAGCCCAAGGGGAACCCCAGCGGTGCTCGGTGAAAGTATTAACACAGCCCCAAGCGGCGATGATGAGCGAATCGAAGAACTCCTGACTGCGGCCCGTACGACGCAACCAATACTGGCCGACAAGCAAGAGAATGGTCAAACAAATACCATAGCCGATGAAGGCGGAACCCATAATGAAATGGGCCAGACATTGACCGAGGTGATCATCGCGGCAGAAGCCGAGCGAGGCAATGCCACCGAATAGCATCTGCGCCCAGCTGAGGACCGGCATGACCTTCCCGACGATGCCGTGGGCCAGCACGAAGATCCATCGGATGCGAGCCTGGCCGGCTTTCTCCAGGTGCAGCTTGAGATACACTCCGAGCACGACTTGCGCGACCAGCAATAGCATCAGCCAGTTTGCGACGGAGGCGTGCAGGTTCTTGTCGAATTGGCGGCCTTTGTGGGCGTGGCCGAGGAAATAGGCTAGCACCGCGATGACGGTGCCGACGACTTGGACGGGGACGTGCCAGCGGGAGCGGATTATCTGATTTCTTTTGTTAGAGATGGGTTTCTCGGTAGGTAAGAAACGGAGAGGCAAGTGAAGCAGTACATACCCCGAGAACCATTCCCGTTGGGAAGATTATGCCAAAAGCCAAACCCATGAGAATCATATGAGTCCATAGTGTTGAGTCCTGGAATCATTTGTTAACTTGTATGAGGGGAATGGCGTGGTACCACGTACGATAGGATCCTGGGAGATAGATTCGCCCTCAGGAACAGCCTCATGGCCGCCATGGGCGAGAGCTGAGGCCACCAATACCGACAAAGTCCATAAGGACTGGCGAAGATATGCCATGGTGTGGTTGGAGTAGGGAGTTGCAAGGGAGAAGAGAACAGATGCGGATGACAGGTAAACCCAATCCGGGGCATCCGATTAGGCGGGACGATACGCGGAGTCAAGAAACCAATGTCTTTCTGATCTCCAAGGCTGTATTCTCGAGTAGATAAGTGATATAGCTGTTTTATGATTTACTTACTTAACAATTAAAAGAAACCTCACGGCAAAATCAAGGACGCGTACGCAGTGGACTGGATTATTCAGCGTGGCTGTGATTGGCCAGGAGTATACAATTCTGGGGTACGAAGGAAGTACGTCCATACATCCATACATCCATACATAGACAACTTCTTCCTCTCTTGCATCCCACGTACCACAACTCATATGCATATGCACGTAATTGCAAACCATCTACATGGATCCAGCTAAGGAACCCAGGTCCTACAGAGACCAGCAACGAGTAGTACGTCCTCAGTATCCCCCACCCTATCCCTACCCACGTTCATCATATCAAGCACTAACACCCAACGCAGGCCAACCTTCGCGCTTCAATTGCAAATCTGGAAGCTAAGCATGAGAGATGCGAAACCGACCTGACCTCAGTGATCACCCAGCTCATGTAAAGAGTCCCTAGCTCCCCCAATTGCATGCAGGCTACACAGAACACAGCCCTAGAAGGACATGGAAACATTGCATCTTGCATCTCTAACCACTGCTTATTCCAGTGACAAGGATTACAATGCCACATGCGAACTCTATACCAAGCTCTTGCATGAATACAATGATATCAAGGATGTTGGGCAGGGGTTGATGGGGCTTATCGCTGATGCGAGGGGGGTGAGGCAGGTCGAGGTGGAGAAAGAGTTTGGGGTTTCGGAGGAGGATTGAAGGGCTACACTGCAAGGGTTTTACTGATTCAAAGGACTTGAACTGATTCAGAAGGGTTTGACTAGACCGATGGAGTTTGGAGCGGGCCCGGTGGCGTTGAATTGAGATTTCATTGTATTCATTCATCTAATCCTACATCCCTAATGGATGTTTTTTTTATTTTTTCTCTTTATCGAGGGGAGACAATGTACCCTGTTTTTCCGGGTCTTCGCTGCTGAAACAAGTAATCTATCACAAGAATGCCCAGGTGGGAGAAATTGAAAGAGGAGATGCGACATATGGAGGAAATGGCAGGGGATGAGATAGAATCAAGAAAGGAAGATAAGGGGGTATATATACATAGATATAGAAGTAAATCAAGAGAATTAGGCGGCCCTGCCAAGGGACTGGAGGTTGACCAGCTCGAAGTAGCGCCCCTTGTTTCGCAAGAGCTCAGTGTGAGTACCGCTCTCGACAATCTTGCCTTGATCGAAGACATAGATGATATCGGCCTTTTGAATTGTACTTAGACGGTGAGCAACGGCGATGGTGGTACGACCGCGAGCGGCAGCATCCAGAGCAGCCTGGACGACCTTCTCAGATTCAGAGTCGAGGGCCGAGGTGGCTTCATCCAGAAGCAAGACCTTGGGGTTGCGAAGGAGGGCACGGGCGATAGCAACACGCTGCTTTTGGCCACCGGACAACATGCCTCCCTTGCTGCCGACGACGGTGTTGAAGCCTTCGGGGAGCGACATGATGAAGTCGTAGATGTTGGCGTCCTTGCAGACCTGGACGAGCTCCTCGTCGGTGGGATCTTGGTTGGGGCTACCAAGCAGGATGTTCTCCTTGATCGTACCTTGGTAGAGAGTGGGCTCCTGGCTGACCAGCGCGAGGTGGCTGCGGTAGGAATTAACATTGAGGTCGGCAATGTTCTTGTCATCTATGTAAACACCACCCGAAAGGGCATCGTAGAAACGCTCGAGAAGGGCAATGGTGGTACTCTTGCCGCATCCGCTAGGTCCGACCAGGGCAATGTACTGGCCAGGCTTGACGGTGAGGTTCAGACCGCGGAGCACGGGCTGCTCGGGACGGGTAGGGTAGCGGAAGTGCACGTCCTTGAACTCGATAGTCCCTTCGCAGTGGTTCAAGTTCTCACCCTCTTCGGACCATGTGTCAATTGTAGGGCGACGCTCGAACAGCTTAAGGAACTCGGCGGCGGCGTTCTTGGCCTTGCCCATGTCGGGGGAGAAGGAGAACACTGTGCCAGCGGATTGGGCACCGAACAAGATTTCACTGAAGCAGACGAAGAAGCGGAACACGTCATATTCATGGTGACCGAGCAGGGTTCCACCATACCAAAAGCCGAGGGCGACACAGAAGAAGACCAATGCCTGGGAGGCTGCATACAAGGACGATGACTTGAACACCGAGATCAAGCTTGTGCGGCCCTGGCGATCGAGTTGAGCGTGGTAGAATGCCCAGACATCGGTCTCACGGGTAAGCGAAGCCACAGTGCGAATGGCAGATGTAGCCTCGCAGGCGTAGCTGGCTGATCCCTCGTAGGCGGCCTTGGAACGCGCCTGGAAGGCGGCAAGCATGTAGAAACGGTAGAAGCCGCAGCCGAGAAGAATCGGAATGACAGACATGCAAACAAGAGCAAGCTTCCATCCGAAAGCAAGCGCGATCACAATGGAAGCGATGAGGGTTGTCGAAGTCATGAGAATTGTGCCAAGAGTTTGACCACTGATACCGGCCAAGTGCTTGGTTTCAGTTGAAAGGAAAGATGTCAAAGCGCCGGTGCTATTCTCCTCGCGATCGAAGAAGTTGATATCTTGTCGGAGCATGACACGGAAGGCATTGCCGCGAGCTTTGCGAATCAATCTCTCGGAGCTAAACGCGAAGGCGATACCGTGGACCGAGAAAGTGATGATTTGAACAATACCGACGATGAAGAACATCAGTGACCAGAAGTTGGCATCCGACCTCAGCTTGTCATACTGGCTTTTGGGCAAGGAAAGCGCGCTGATAGCTTTGGCGTATAAGAAGGCCTGAGTGGGTTGACCACAACCGGCGAGAATCGAGAAGCAAAGACCGATGGCCATGAACCACCGCTCTTCCTTGTTAAACGAGCCGATAAACTTGATCAGAGTCAAGAGTGAGTACTTTCTGCCGCCTTCAGCAGTCTTCTGCGATAGAATAACGCTGGACACGGACTTGCGAGACTCCTGGCGATGCATGGCGTCCTGGAATGTTTCGGCCTCATCCTTCATACCGGTCGAGCCACTAGCAATTGATTTGACACGTGCGATGTGAGACTTGGTCATCTGCTCCATGCCATCCTCATCCTCATCCGCGTCCAAAGCATCTGCGTCCTTCTCCTCATTGATGCGCTGGGCCTCGACGAGCTTGAAGTAAGGGCCGTCGTGTTCAGTCAGTTGGGTGTGAGTACCCTGCTCAACAATGGATCCGTTGACGAAGACAACAATGTTATGAGCAGACTTGATAGTGGACAGACGATGGGCGATGACAATGGTGGTGCGGCCCTCAGCAGCGCGATCAAGCGCTGCCTGGACGACACCCTCGGACTTCGTATCCAGTGCTGAAGTGGCTTCATCCAGAAGCAAAATCTTGGGGTCGCTGACCATGGCACGAGCGATGGCAATACGTTGCTTCTGGCCTCCAGACAACAAGAATCCACGCTGGCCGACGTTGGTCTCGTAACCTTCTGGAAGAGCAGTAATGAATTCGTGAGCGTTGGCCATCTTGGCGGCATTCTCAATTAGCTCCTTAATCTTTTCCTCAGACTCATGCTCGAAGCGTGTTCCAATCAGACCGTGGCGAATATTTTGATAGATGGTTGTGCCAAACAGAACAGGTTCCTGGCTGACCAGGGAGATCTGCTGTCGTAGCCATCGCAGGTTGAGCGTCTGGATGTCGTGACCGTCCAAGAACACTTGACCACCGACTGGAAGATAGAACCGCTCGACAAGACCGACAACAGTGCTCTTGCCAGAACCTGAAGGGCCGACCAATGCGGTAGTCTTACCAGCAGGAATGCCAAGGGAAACGTCCTTCATAACTGTAACTTCGGGACGGGAGGGATAGATGTGTTTCACGTTGCGGAACTCGATGTGACCCTCAACGTGGTCAAGGATGATGCCTTCATCCGAAGTAGGGTCTAGCGGGGAGTCACGGTCGATAGTCGCAAAGATCTTGGTAGCGGCAGCCACAGCATTGGTAAATGCCGACGCGTTCGGGCTGACATTGCCCAGGGAGAAAGATCCGATAAGAATAGCCATCAAGATGGTCAAAACTTGTCCGACATTAACCTTACCATCCACCAGGAATCGGGAGCCCATCCAGAATCCGAGACCGTAGTTCATAAACATGAGTCCAAACATGATACCGACCATCACGGCGAGACTCATTTGGAGGCGCATACCCCAGCGCTCTGCGCGAAGCAAGTGAGACTCGTACTGCTTCGCGAGCTTGTCCTGAGTACCGAATGCGGTCGCATTTCGGATCGAGCTGATGACTTCCTCCGCCACAGTTCCACCAGCACCGGCGCTTTCCAGGGAGAGCTTGCCGAACTTGATGATCAGTTGGGACCCTCCACCCATGATGACGATCAGGGCGACCATAGTTGAAGTGCATATGCCAGCCAAGGGGGCATACTTGATGTATGCGACGATGAAAGCAGTCACGAAGGTAGCGATGGCAGTGAGGGTCAAACCGACCTTTTCGGAGATACCATCCTGAATAAGGTTGGTGTCAGCCGTGATACGGGTAGTAACTTCACCTGCACCAAGCTTGTCGAAGTAGGCGATGTTCTGGCGTAGGATGGCTTCGAGGTAGTGCTCTCGAATCTTCTGGGTGACATGCTCTCCGGTGTAGATGAAACCCACGGTGCTGACGTAGACGGTGACGAATTCTCCGATGCCGAGGTAGATGAAGTACAAAACGTTGGTGGTCAACTGATCGTAGAATTCATCGTAGGGGATGGTGCGGAGCATAATCTTTTGGAAAGCCGTAGCCAAGGAGCCAAAGAGAATGGTGAAGAGGGGCAAGGCAGCACCGGCGGCGATGGCGCAGAGTGTGCTGATGACAATGATGAGTATGTCGATGCGGGAGGCATATCGATAGAGACCGAAGTAAGAGATATTGACCAGAGGCGCATCTAGCTGTTGTTTCAGGATGTCCTTTTCATTCTCGGGCAAGTGAGCATAGAGGGCATCTTCGTCTGACGCGACTGGAGTCTTGCTTTCGTGTTCCTTTCCTGTTGATGTGGAAGCGGAATCGGAATCGCGTTTCCCAACGGGCTTCTCGTTAAGCTGAGGGTTCTCCACCACCTTCTCAACGTCCGTCACGCCCTCCTGGGGCTGCTGCATGTTGAAACTTTTGGTTTTGAATCTTTACTCCATGAAGTACTTGAAGAATGAAGGTTTGATCTGAACAGTTGAGACGTGAAGAGATGAATCAAGACGCTAACACAAAGAACAAGAGATATTAAGGGATATGAAAGGGGATATTAGATTAAGAAGAGTAATGATTAACGAAAGGGGGAATTTGGGAAGGGTGAGATCTAAATGCTTCTGTCTTAGATTATACTTAAGAGGGGCTTATTTTTTTAAGCGGGTCGGGTAGTCCGAACTCCGATGTCTTTATGCAATTTATAATTGGCGATATTAACTAACTACATATGGTTATAACTATTTACTGTTTACAGACAAAGTGCTGCCTAGATGGTAACTTGGTTTGATCTCTCGATTCCTACGTGTACGTACGGAAATCTGTTTATAGAGAGGCTGGACATTCCTACATATGTATCTTCACATTCCTCGTGCAAGGGCATCCCTCGAACGCGCCCCCTTTCTAGGGAACACGACTTTGACAGCCAGCGATTTGCTTCTTTACTTAATGCTTGACGCAGGTCCAGTATGATTGGGACATGCATGTGGCACTTACATAGTACATACTGTGAAACGCAGAGAGTATGTACATATGTTGTATCTACAACCCGAAACGCATCATCATGACGCGAAACACGAGAACGAATACGGATATACTGAGTCATAATCCTACAACTATCGAACTACGGAGGATTTCGTCCGAATTTTGATCCGCAAAGGCAACAGAATACGAAAAGGATCCCGTTCTGGACCGATTCCACTTTTTTCTATGCGTCGGGTACGGAGTAGTTTTATACCCGATGTCCGATGTTGCTTTGACTGCAATCTCCCTTTTACCTCCTTTTGCCTATTTCGTACGAGGACATTGATTAATTCCAATCAGGTCTCCAAGATTGCCCAAGTGAGATCTAAATAACGTAAACACCCGCACCTTCCTCCTTAAGGTTGGAGGTTGGAAGGTGCTAGCTCTGTGTCTGACGTCCACAGGGAGCCCTGGAGATCTATTGATTTGTGACATAAGAATCTCCGTTCGGATTGATTGTCGACCAAGTTACATATGTTCTTCTGGGAGGGCTGTTTCGGAATCGAATCGTGTTTCCAAAACTGCCCATGTACTTTTTTTGTTCGATGTCGCATTAGGCCTTCTAGTTCGCCACGCTGATGCAACCATCTAATACGGAGAGAATATATGAGTGCAATTCAATGGCGTTGCCTACAGATGGACGGATAGAAACCGCCCAAAATCAAGTTTCACGGAGGATTTTACAAGTCACCGCAACTAAGTCTAGGATCTTCAAGCTGTCACGTTCCGCGATCCCTAAGACATGAAATATCCATGGATGTCTTGCCTGAATCTCATTTGGAGGTTCTGTTTTCCATCTATTTGTGACTGAACCAAAGTGTTTCTTATTTTCCTATTTTCCTTTCCTTTCCTCTCTTCATTTTTTCTGTGGGGTAATTATGGGGCTGAAGGAATCCAGGCACACGATGGCCTTGTCATGCCCAAGCGACCAGATCGCAGCGTATAGCGATCACTTGGGACCCCAAAATTGATTATCTTTCCAGTGAATACTCTTTTCTGACACGTAAACTATCACTGCCACGCTATAGTATCCCTAGGTAGGCTACTAGCTGCCTACCGGTAATCTTCTACATAGCAATATTATGTGATGAATCGAAGAGAAACGGGCCTTTCAACCTGATGAAGAAGGTGACGAAAGATAACCATGGATTGCGACCAAGGAGAGAGAGGAGCCTATCTAGATTTTGTCGTCCTCCATTCCATGAACCACTCTGCAAATCGAGGGTAACCGCGTTCTTCGAGTTTCATTCTGAGTCGCTTTCTCCATTCACTTTCCATCGATACCTGGAATTGGCGGATGGAAGTCCAGGCCCGGAGACGCAGAAGGCTTTGTTGCAATCCAGAAACGTGGGTAAAACCCCAGCGCACTCCCAGTCGATGATCGCCGACAGCCTTTGACTTTGACTGGAAACAAGTATGTTTCCTGGCCCTAGATCAGGATGATAGAGATGGAACCGCCCTTCAATCTCTGGGTTTGGACGAAGATCTTCCCGAAAGAAATATCTCCTACTCTCAGAAACAGTTAACGGCTCTAATGAATCCTGTCCCGAGTGAGCAAGATAAGGCTCTAAGACTGGACCGCCATATACATTCTGGAGTCGCTCCGAAGTAACAGACGCGAGTATATCGCATATAGAAACAACCTCATCCAAGATAGAAGCTTGTTCGGTAGCGGACATAGTTCCCCAAGCCTCTCTTAGCGTTATATCCGGAACTCTTTTCAACACCCAGAATGATCGATTTCCATCCTCCCAGGAATAGACCACTTCGGGGACAGGTACTTGGTGTGCCTTTCCTTGAATGAATTTGATAGTTTTGCTCTCTGAAGTGGTATCGGAGCTCCAGCGGTGGACTTTACAGATAGCATTGTTTCCAATAGCCCATACTGCCGATAGTGTGCCTCCTTCATGGATCAAACGGACATCGTGCGAATTTGCAGGCATAGCATCGGGTGACTGCTCAGATGTTGCATGTCAAAGAATATACCAATACTCTCCGTCTTTCCAGGCAGCTGCGCATGCGTCATCTGGTTCCGTAGTTCGATTGCAGTCGATTGTGCAACCAAGGCGCCAAGTGGAATGAGAAATCTGGGTAACAGAATTCTGAATAGGAACTGATGATGACATGGTTCGATTTAGCTGGATAGGTACTAGGTCCTATTGACTGGCTTTAAGTGTGGTAGTAATAAAGTTGAAGCCCTTAAGGTTGGGATGTAATGAGAAGTATCTTGGAAGTTGAGGGCATGCACACACATCATGCAGCTAGAAGTTGTGATCTCACTATTTTCCAAGGATGTTACAAGGTGCCCAAGACGATTCGCGCGTCAAGCAAGTCACCTTGATTGGCTCATTCATGTCTGAGTCCTCAAGCACATCCATGCTTCCCGTTTCTCTATTTACCACCCACTAGTACTAGATTCATATCTACAATCAATCAGATCTCCCCCAATAACCGCCTGGGGAGATTCGGCAATCATTGCCGCTAAGCAACCCCCTCCATATATGAAATGGAGCCAATGATGCGTCCACTTTCCGATGTATGTGATACTTCCTTGGTTAAGTACTATTTACTGAGAGCCTCATCTACAGCCCCACAGCCGGGATCTGGAGGGAGACTTCCCACTAGACGGAAAGGACCTTGACTCCGTCACAGATGAGACTAGCAAGCCTTCTTCAGTCTCCCCCTGTTCTCCACCATCTTGGCGCCACAAAAGTTGTGCGACTGTCACGAGATCTGGTGATGAAAGGCGGCGACAGTGTCCTGCCTTGCGAAGCAAAGACGCTCAATCTCATAGCATCCAAAACCGGCGTTCGAGCTCCACGAGTCCACCGCTCATTTCAAGTCGAAGATGAGACGCAGTACTTTGGCACGCAGGGATATATTTATCCCAGGGCAACCTCTCGATAAGTGTTGGACCGGTCTACCCTGCGATAGTCAAAAGCAAATCGCTATTCAGATCGCGGAAATAATCAAAGAAATGTAGTCTGTTGTAATCTCGCAGCCAGGTCCTCTTGGTGGCGGGCCATTTCGTGGCCGACTCTTCACAGATTATAGCGCCGGTCCTTTCAAGGATAGTGCTGAACTTCAAGGCTGGTTTAACCACAAGCTTGAGATCTGTAAGCACGTCAACCAATCTCCTAAAGATATCCCGCCATTTCGATTCACCACCTTTGTCCTCACTCATCAAGACATAAGTCCTCGAAACCTGATCTTAGACCAGAATGGAGAAGTATGGTTGATTGACTGGGCGTATGCCGGTGCATATCCCCCTGCCTTTGAAATTGCTGCGTTAGTGGCGCGGCAGTTTTCTACTAGCTTCAATGAAGCAGTTTTGCCTCTTATTCCACGGTTCCCTGAGGAAGAACGGCAGCTTCGTTCTGTCGCATATGGGTTGGCTACCGCGGCCTTGGCTTGATGCGATCTTACATAAATCCGTGTCTTGTGTGCTATGATTGTTGTATTGGTCGAGTTCTGTGCTTTTGTTGATGATCAATGATAAGGATTCCCACTAGAATTCCCACTATAATTTCTCGTGGCCCGGCAGCTTTATTTGCGGCTTACGAGGTTCGGAATTAAGGCTTCCAGGGCTAGCTTGCTTATACGGTAGTACAAAACAGGACATTGTAGGTCACAAGGTTGCATTGTATCTCGAGTGTTTATGACGATCTTGGTAGCAACCTAAGGTAAGCACTAATCTGAAAGAGGGACCAGGGCATAAGGGCATATCCATAGATGTACATCGTATACCGGACTGTTTACTTGTATCATATTACTTGCATAATGCCAGTGTGAGCACATACGACGTATACTCGTCCAGCTCGACCCACTTTGCGGGTTCTTGCCCGAGACATTCGGAATGTTGTTCTGCCTTAACGCCTTACAGCCTCAGGCACAAATTCCACGTCACCTGACCCAACCGAAGCGAAGCCAAGCCCTGCCGCACACAAACCATCCACACTCGAAGGTCGATAACTTCATCCGTCCATCCAACAAGCTCGCCGTCGCGATCAACCCTTCAAGATGCCGGTATGTTACCACCCTGTTTCTGCCGTTCTCGAAAAAAAGCTTTCGCCATCGTCGCCGTCTCCCTCCCCAGTCAGACCTCTGAAAAATCGAGAATCAAAATCTTAACCCGTCATTTTCCACACAGAGCCACAAGACCTTCCGCACCAAGCAAAAGCTTGCCAAAGCTCAGCGTCAGAACCGCCCCATCCCCCAGTGGATCCGTCTGCGCACCAACAACACCATCAGGTAAATTACACCTTTGTTTCGAGATCCAAATCCATCTATATATCCGAGACCGCCATTTTTGGGAAGAGTGATACGGAAACGCGAGAGAGGAAAGGGAATACACATGACCATCCACCCGCCGACTGCACGAATCCAGCAATGGAGGGAAAGAGACAGAAATTACATCGAATCGAATAAATGGCTGATACAATGCTGAAACAGATACAACGCCAAGCGCCGACACTGGCGTAAGTCGACCCTGAAGGTCTAAGCGGACCCTCAGTATTCGCACCCTCCGCTCGGCCATTCTCAAAAGCCCCAATTCAGCTCGCGATGTCATATGGCAACCGAAGTGTGTCTGTGCGGGGTGGTTCAAGGGTTTTTGATTATTTCGAAACCCTCTTCATGATGTGACGCCCACAACCGAATTTCGAACAACATGCCTTGACCATGAACTTGAGAGCGCTAGTGGATGTGGAACTACTCTTGAGTGCAATTGCAAACAAAAAATTCAATTATCAAATCTTGATCCGGGTCTTGCTTTGGGTCGTGTCTATCTTTCTTTTCTTAATCTTCCGATGGGTCGTCATTCCTTTTCCTCCACGGTTCCGAGTGGGGATATGATGGATTTCCAACACGCCTAAATTATCGATATGATGGCAGGCCCGGATTATGTTTGCAAAAGGGTTTTGTTGCTGTTGGGGGCTGATCGTTTTCTTGCTGGGGGCGGGCTTGTAGGACTGGCATGGCGGGGGATTTTCTTTTTTGATACAAAATCTGATTGAATCGAATTGAATATCCTTTTGCCTACTTCTTTTTGGGAAAGGTCTTGGTGGCAGTAGATTTTGATATGGGCGTTGCATGGGGAACATTTCCATGCTGTCTGTTCCTGATTGTGGTGTTACTGTTCGTATTACGCTTTGTAGTACTCCGTACAGCCTTAGATTTGCGTTTTATAGGCTAGATTACTTCCATAACTTGGCGCTGTCGTCATAGTAGGGCTATAAGTAAGGGTCGGTTTTCTGTCCCCGCTATCTAATGCTACTGGATTCAGGAGGATTCTGTAACAAATGTCATTGCAAGGCGAGCGACTTTTACCAAATCGAATCGAATAACCTTGGAAGGAAAATAGCAAAAATAAACGCCCCAAAAATAATCACCCTACTAGATATGAAGGGCTACGCTGCACATTGTCGTAAACAGCCGGGAGGATATCATTTTCTGTTTTAAAAAGAGACAGACAAAGAACCATCATTTAGCGACTAGAGGAGCAGAAATGTCAGCATAGATTCCATCCAAGGATACTGTTGGAGCAACTTACTCCTCAGCCCACTCGTTCTCGCGGCGGATCTGGTCCTCCTCCTCAGGAGTGAAGTCATTCTGGATGTTGAATGTCTTGCGGATCTCCTCTGGGGACTTGCCCTTGATCATGTTGGCGACGGTCTTGCAGCCGACGTCAAGGAGGGCCTTGATGTCCAAGTAGTTGGCGGCCTAGGAGCAGTCAGTATAGGCGTCGAAGAGTAAGTCTGAAAACGAAAACGTACGAGGATGATCTCGAAAAGCATCTCCTGGTCCACCTGCATGAATTTCTGGTCCCATTCATCAATGTCGGTGGTTTTACGACGGTTGTCGTCATCGTCGCTGGCGCTTGGGGGGTCGTTCTTGTGGTGCTCGCACCACTCGATGACCTTCTTGAGGACGGCCTCGTTAACCTGAACAAAGTGTAAGCGTTTAGTCCTGGATGCTAACTATCTCGGCAGAAACACTCACGTTGGGGATGGGGATAGCCTCTCCGGAGTCGCCAAGATCCTCAAGCATGTTCTTGATTAGGACGGAGCGCTCAGCAGTAGTACGCTCTGTACAGAATCTGTCAGTGCCACTCACGAGAGCATCCTGCGGGAAAGTTGTACTTACCAACAGAGATATCAACTCCATCGGAGCTGGTGAGGGTGATAGCGCTCATTGTAATGATTGAAGATGGAATCTACATGTTCAGGTTAAGTGTTAGCTTTGCTAGTCGCTTTCGAATAATGCGGGGTGGATCAGTGGTAGGGGTATTACTCACGAAATGGGGGGGAAATGTGTATATTCCTTGTTGAAAATCGTCTCCAGAGTTGGTATGTCTGAAGATAGAAGAAGGTTGAAAATGACGAGGATGTAACGGGTAGATGGCGGGTGATGAGGTTTAAGAGGTTCTGAGGTACCAAAGGCGGTCGGTAGTATCTTCATGGATAAGGCCAACAAGGCAAAGGTCAGCCGCCCCCACGTCTTAGTTCTCAGTCCGGAGTACAGTTGCCTAGATTATACCAAATAATATTTGTTTTGACTCATTCTTTTACTTTAGAAACCGGAACCTGACTAGAAACATACTAACAATCTGCTAGCTTGAGGACCAACGGTTGGGAACCTAGGATGCCGCCTAGGATGGATGTACTAAGTTCTAGCAAATGTCAACAGGGTTAAAACTAGAAGAATCTGGACTTGATTACTTGCAACTAGGTCATTTTGGGAAAACTGGATGTTCTGGATTATATTGTAAGATTATCGATCTATCAACTATGTATGGTATCTTAGAGTATATTGTGTATACGAGAATATACGAAATCCAACAGGTATATCACATCACATTAACAAATATTTTGATATATACATTCATATGTAGAAATAAGATTCTACTACTCCGTATGGAGTAGATCGATCTATTGAATTCAATGTCCCTTGCCCGACACTCCAATTTACCGCTTAACGCGAGGACAGTGACATCATCCAATAACGCGTTTAGTTTGCTTTTCTCTTCTTAGCCCATGCCCTCTCCTTTCTTTCACTTCATTCTTTACCATTTTCATTCTTTATTTCTTTCTAATAATGTTCCTTTTCTCCAACCATGTGGCGTCGAACATATCTATTGTTATTGGTGATTCGCGTGTACTTTGCGCTGTCACCAAGCTATCTACATCCTGATGAGAATTTCCAAGGCCCAGAGCTTTTTGCAGGTGTGTTTAACAATCCAATGATCGCCTGACAAAACGCGATCATGCCGCGACTACGCAAACGCGTGGAAATTTTTGTTGCGATTTTCCCCAAAGTAAAAAAGAAAAAGCGCCATCCGGCACTCCCGCGACTCCCCTATACGAAGGGTGAAAAGTATTGACCAGATCACCTAAATGCAGGTCGCATATTCTCATTCCCTTCAAAGCTACCATGGGAGTTTACCGTTGAGCACCCCATCCGCAGCATATTCCCGTTATGGGCGACCTACGAGCTTCCAATGAGCCTTTTGAAATGGTTCTATACTGAAATCGGATCGGGCAGTCCCCCACCCCACTTGGTTTACTATGCGCTGCGCGGTGGAATGTTCCTATTAAGTTTTGTACTGGAGGACTGGGCCATCTATGAGCTAGTGCCTTCCCCGCGTCATCGGCGCGCAACAGTGGTGCTGGTGGCCTCGTCGTATGTCACCTGGACATATCAGACGCACACATTCTCCAACAGCCTCGAGACCTTGTTGGTTGCCTGGGGGCTGGTTCTGATTCGCCGCATTGTCGAGAATAAGGTGGGAGAGATAGAGCTTCAAAAACACTATTGACACTGACTTAACTCCCAGCGACACTCGTCCTTCTTCTCCCACGCCGTGCTCGCCTTCATCGCCGTGGTGGGCGTCTTAAACCGCATAACCTTCCCGGCTTTCCTTCTATTCCCGGGCCTGCAATTGCTGCCTCAGTTCCAGCGCAAGTGCGTCAATCTACATACACTTTACCTCCAGCTTATCAACCAATATGCATGTACTAACCCCGCGTTCGCACCAGACCACTCTCCCTCGCAACATTTCTCCTCTTCGGTCTCCTCTTTTCCTTCATCGCAATCTACACAGACACAACCTTCTACCGGCCGACAGCCTCCCTCTTAAGCACCCTCCGCGACCCCGTAATAACTCCCCTCAACAATCTCCTCTACAACACCGACACTTCCAACCTAGCCCAGCACGGCCTCCACCCCCGCCACCAACACTTCACCGCAAATCTCCTCCAACTCCTCGGCCCAGCCTACATAGCAATGCTAGTCTCCCTCTTCAGCTGGCCACTGGTGCCATACTGGATGCGCAATGTGCGCGCCCTCTCCGCGCTCTCCGCAACCCTGCTCCTCTCCCTCTTCCCGCACCAAGAACCACGCTTCCTCCTCCCCGCCGTACCCCTCCTCCTAAGCTGCGTCCCTATACGCCGCTCCCGGCTCCTCCTCACTGTGTGGGTCATCTTCAACGCAGCCATGGGCTTCCTCATGGGCGTGTACCACCAAGGCGGCGTCGTCCCCACGCAGCTAGCAATGCGCGACATCATCTCGTCCAGCACAACACACCACATACCTTCCGCAACGGTCTTCTGGTGGAAGACATACTCACCGCCGCTGTGGCTTCTCGGCGGGAACAACCAATCCACAGAGATCCAGACACTGGATCTCATGGGGATTTCAGGTCTGGAGATGATGCTGCAGCTGGAGAAGGTTGTACCTGGCTGCTCTACTCCATCGCCTGTGTTCCTGGTCGCGCCTACATCGGCTGCTTTCCTCGATCCGTACGCTGTGTCTGCGCGCCAGAGCCGAGACCAGAACTTGCAACTTCATCCACTTTGGTCGTATCGCAAACACCTTAACCTTGATGACATCGACTTCGCCGAAGACGGGATCCTGCCGACTCTGAAACGGGTCGTTGGACGCCGCGGGCTGGGTGTTTGGTCTGTGCGGAGATCTTGCAAATAAGTCTTCTGTTTCCGTTTCCGCTTGTTCATGGATGTATTAGATTCATGGATGGGGCGTTGTATTTTGTTCATCTTCTGTATTTGGGAACTATGTTCTCACTTAGATTTGGACTGCAATCTCCTTTTTTTTCTCTGGATATTTTCGGTGCATGTTAGGGCTATTGGGGCCATAAGATACCTTTTGCATTGGGGATGGGCGTGAATCGAATTGACGTCTTTGGGGCTCCAGTCTACTTGTACCTACTTCTACCTACATGTAAGTAATTATGTAGTACTGTCCAATTATTCATTAACTTTTTCATTACTGTCTAGGCTGGTCAGCTGGGTTGTAGTTAGGGGCACCACTACCCAGTTCGAATATCTGCGGTGTATGATCTATCACAGAGAAAAGATATAAAAGGCCATTCAGAAGCCATTCAAAGAAAAAAGCCCTGATAGGGAGCGGTAAGGGCTATGCACATCAACTCGACCTCGGCAGGTCGGGCACGACATAGTAAATGCTGTATGAGGAGGATATATTATTGACATTTTGGGCGATCCTCGCGGTTCCAAGCCCTAAGGAGGAAACCTTGAAAACTCCTCCAAACATGCGGATATATACATACACTCCAACCATCCGCAGGTCATCCGCACATCTGTCTACCTGCATATAAAATACGCATGACCAATGAAGATCACACCATGACAGATGACCAAATCGAAGATCGCCACTTATCCTACCTGTAGTCTTACGCAACTACTCACATACTATATATGCAGCGAACAGATCCCATTTTGCCCATTAAGGCAGATACATAACAGGCGTTTTGGGCAGAGGGAACAGCGGGATGCAAAGAAGCCAAGTGCACACTCAGCAAGCAGAAACTCAGAGACGCCAAGCTGAGCTCTTAGTCGTGTCCGTGGGAAGGGATTCGGGGTGAGGAGAGATGGGAATCAATTCAAACAGTAGCATGCTTGGTATTCATCATAGAACATAACGTTAAGAGGGGGGAAGTAGGGGAAGAAAAGAAGTCG